TATTATTAACAACATTTCTGAATGGGGAACTAGATGCATATTAGCATACTGATCAGGTGAAAGACTGCATAAAATGGAGAGTGTCTAGGTACTCAGAACCACAACGGCATGCTCAAAGACAAATACCTCCGACCATATGGTCGTTGTGATGGGTTATTATTATTAACAACATTTCTGAATGGGGAACTAGATGCATATTAGCATACTGATCAGGTGAAAGACTGCATAAAATGGAGAGTGTCTAGGTACTCAGAACCACAACGGCATGCTCAAAGACAAATACCTCCGACCATATGGTCGTTGTGATGGGATAAATGATGTGGGGAAGCAAGCTCAGTTTAGGGTATGGGCCATAACATACAAAGCCCTTGCTGGACCACCTCTCTCCCTAGGCTTTGCCGCAACAACTTCACTCACGCCAGCAGGGGCTTCGGCAGGTGCCAGCCTGAAAATGGGCAAAGTCCACAACTGCCTGTACACGTGCCTCCACCTTTGTGGCTCCCGCTTTGTGGGACGGCCTGCCCGAGGTCAGGAAAGCTCCCACTCTCCTGGCTGTCCGCAAGCTATGCAAAACTGAACTGTTCAAGTGGGCTTTCCTGAGCAGGGAATAAGGTTGCACGGCACTACATGGTTTTACAGACGTGTTTGAACAAATGATTAGGGACTGTGATCCAGACTGCTGTGTATAGCTTATAGTGAGCAGGATCCTATTATGTTGATATTTGTACTGCTTAATTTGTCATGCAAATACTTATGTTATGCTTCTGTTCTTTCTGGTGGTTCCAGACTTCTAAAATCCTCAAGCATCGTTTACTGAATGTCCCATTTTGTTGATTGTTCTGGCTCACTATGTGTAATTCCCCTTGAGTCCCTGTGAGAAAGGTAGACTATAAATAACATTAATTAATTAAATAGATAAAGCTGTAGGGGGCTTAGGATGGGTCAATAGATGAGCATTAGGTAAAGGTAAAGGTTCCCTTGCTCGAAAGCCAGTCAAATCTGACTCTAGGGTTGCAGTGCTCATCTCCGTTTCAAAGCCGAAGAGCCAGCGCTGTCCGAAGACATTTCCGTGGTCATGTGGCCAGCATGACTAAACACCAAGGCGCACGGAACGCTGCTCCCTTCCCACCGAAGTGGTCCCTATTTATCTACTTGCAATTTCTCGCTTTCGAACTGCTAGGTTGGCAGGAGCTGGAACTAGAGATGGGAGCTCACTCCATCATACGGCAACTCGGGTCTCAAACTGCTGAACTATTGACCTTCCACAGCACTGTATGGCTGCAAGAGTTTATAAGGAAGGCTGAGCACCGAAGAATATTGAAAGATAAGGTAAAATGGCAGTGCCAAGAAATGTTGATGTGATGGCATTCACAACTTTAGGTTCACCCCCACCTTTAAATTTTCTGATAACTTAATGCACACAACTGCTTGAGCACAGGGTTTAACTGAAGTAGTGGAGACATACAATACTGTGATAAGAACCAAGTATCAAAACACGATTATCGTTACAAATTTTGAAAACCCAACCGGGAAGTAAGTATGTTGGCGCTGCACCATGAGACAGCAGAGTGGAACAGTTAAACCTGATGGGAGGGTTCAGAAGGCAGGAATTTTGGAAGCATCCCTAAAGTTTACTATTTCAGGTTTCCCACAAGAGTTGGGAAAACAGTTGAGAGGTGGGAGTAGTATTCAGATCCTCACAGCAGGTGTAGTACTGATTATTCTGTTGCCATAAGAGTCTTTGGGGGGGGGAAGGAGAATGAAATAAAACCCTGTCCTGACACAAAGATGTGCCAGAGCATAGATGCACATCCTGCTTTGGAACTGCTAAGCGGTGTGCAGGCAACATGAAACATGGTGCCCCTCTGTGCCCACTCAAAATCTGTTCAAGTAGTTCTTTAATATCAATGACAAATGCACTTCCTTAAACACTTCACATTTCAAATGCTGGATTAAACTAGGGCCGATTTCCCGCAAGCTGCTGCTCCGTGCTCGCTCTTCCCTTTGCCCCGATCGTCCGTGTCAATTTCACACTAAGTGCTGCGCAGCTGCATTTTGCCCTGCAGCTTTGCCCGATTTCCGCCGAATCTACTGAATCCTGTTTTTTTGAGAATTGAGTAGGTGCCAGTGTTCCCTCTAAGCTGAGTTAGTGTGAGCTGGCTCACAGTTTTTTAGCCTCCAGCTCGCTGATTTTTGTCTTAGCTCAGGAAGGATGGCTCCAGAGCAAACTAATTTATACAGTAGCCAAATAGTTTGCTCACAACTTTAATGCCAGTAGCTCACAATGTAGAATTTTTGCTCACAAGACTCCACAGCTTAGAGGGAACATTGGTAGGCGCGGGGAAAATTGGCCAAAGCTACGGGGCGAAATGCCGCTGCGCAGCACTTAGTGGGAAATCGGGTCCAGTTGTATGAAGAACAGCTGCTCTGAAATTCATGAGAAGCATTTCCCCAACAGTGAAGAGACTGGGGTTGGTCTGGCTCCTACAGCACTCTGCATGCATGCCGTGAAGCCCCACAGAACTCTGGATCATCTATCATCCTTATCTGGAGTCTAATAATTCTCACTCAATTTTGCTTTGGATGCCAACTTATTGTGTTGTTTTTATCCGTAGTTGTTAAAATGTCATAGCTATGGGAAACTGGAAATATTTCAGCAAAGCTAAGCAGATGACTGCATTAAAAAAAGGAAAGTGTTAATGGGTTCTGTTGAGGATCAGGGATCTATTACTGAGCATTACTTCTGGTGCTTTTCATGGGAACTATATGACATAGACTGTTTTAATGAGACTAAACGTACAACTTGCACTCAGCTGCAATAGTCACGGTCAGTTAATCTTGCACAGTACATACGTCAGAGTAACAAGACAGACAGATCAGCGGACCTTAAAAAATGCAACAAGTATCAAGGGCTCATTTTGGATTTCAACTTAGTTCCTTGCCCAGACTTCACTACTGCAACACAAACAAAACTGTGCTCATGTACATCGACAACTCACTCCTCCAGAATATTTGCTACTTATCTGGCTGTCATGCTTTACTGGACAGGTGGGATCATTTTGCCCAGTGGTATATTCAGAGGTCATTTGGGGGGGGGATCGTGGGGGAACGCAGTTCCCCCGGGTGAGGTGCAGGGGGCGGGGCACACGATGAAGCCCCGCCCCCTGCTTCCGGCTGCCCCGCTTCCAGCCCTCATTCAGCCAGGAGGAGGCAGGAGAAGAGGGAGGGTAAGTTGCTTCCTCCCCGCCTCTCCCCACCCCTGCCGGCCTGGGGCCAGGGAGGGCCTTGGCGGGGCTTCCTCGCACTCCCGCTGGCCTTGCAGGTCCACTGCCGGGCCCCTGATGTCAGGGGGTGTGGCATATGCTAATGAGTTATGCTAATGAGTTCCCCTAGCTCTTTTTCTATGAAATGACCCCTGGGTATATTTATTGGGTTGTCTGGTTCTGCATTAGCCCTTCAGATCTTCCTCCCACTGTAGTTTAGAGTACCTGAATTACAGTTGGTGCACTACAGCCAAGTTAAAACAACAACAACAGGCTTTCTAAAATAAACATTGGCTGTATTGAACCAAATGTAATTTAGGACCACTAAACTACAGTGGGATCATTCAAGATTTATGACTGCTTATGTAGAAACAGACTATCCAGTAGCTAATAAACGCACCACTGTGCAAAGTGACCCCACCTTTCTAGCAACACAGCAAAGCCTTTCACTACCAATCACCCTCACAAATGTTAGTTGGATTCCACATGATGGCTCATTCTAGTATCCTTCCAGTAAAGAGGCTAGTCTAATATGTGTTACAATAAAGAGACTAGTCTAATAAAGAGGTCCAGTCTTCCTATAGTTCAACCTAACATTCTGTAACAACATAGGGCTGCCATGTCCCCCCGGGGGGCGAGGAAACCCCCGCCCAAGAGGCCCGTTCCCTGCTGCCGGTGGATCGGGCCCCGGGGGGAACCCCACCCCGGCGTGCGCGTCACCAGGAAGTGACGTTATGACGCCGGGCACTCTATGTTTCCCCCTTGGATGGTCGTGGCCCCGCCCCCAGCGTGCCCGGCATCATAAGGTCACTTCCTGGTGACGTGCGTGCGGCGCATAGGATGCCGGATGGGAGTCCCCCGCTCCCGACGATTTTCGACGTGGCAACCCTATAACAGCAGCTGATGTCCTAACTTTAGATTATGTCCTAAATTGTGATTTAATTCTACTGAGTGTGTAGGGGTATAATATCTGGTTTTATTTTATTCTAAGGTCCTGGAATATTGTTCCTTATTTCACAGTTTAAGCATGTTGGACCAATTCCCACGTTTGAAAAAATCCCCAGCATAATGATTTTGATGCAAATTCAAATGTACACTTATTTCTCATTTTGTAGCTCAAAATCTGAGCACATTTCCCCCAGGCAGCATTTCTGCTAACATTATATTGCATTTTCTGGGGAGCTAAAGTACAATACCCTATACCTTAGAAAATGCAAAACCTTTCCCGGAGAACACAGTCACAGCCTTGTGTGAATTGTGCTGTGCAAGTATCACTGGGCAAGCACTCTGATATTACTTCTTGATGGAGAGAGACCTACCTCCTCTTTGCTTTGCAGGGTTTCTCCCCCCCCCCCCAAGTTGTTCCCCACACCCCTTTCATTCTGGTATGTTCTCATGTCAGGCAAGTTTGGGTGATTTATGTGTTCTACCACTCAAGCACACAGACATCTTCCAAAGACCCTAATGCAATTATGCATCTGCCTGGTATGGTACTGACCCTTTGATTATACCGCCACTGTACACGTATCTAGTTATGCTGATTATATTTGGTATTTTTTTCCTGAAGTGTGTGTGTGTATACACCCTAAACCGTGCCACAACTAAACACTACAAAAAGGGATTGTCTTTTAATTTTAAAATGGAATGGATTAAGAGACTGAGCACTGTGCTACTGCTGCAAGAATGACGGATGAACAAATATTGCAGAAGGGCAACAAGATACTTGGGGCACACATAATGCCGACTAGCATTTCCTCAGGCACAAGGACTTCTGCTTGCAGAGCAAAACTCTCGGGCCTTCCCCCCACCAACAGAAGCCCAAGATGCCACCAGTGGGAGAGGACAGGTGGCAAAATCACACTCTGTGAGTGGAAGTCCCTGCAGAAATGCTAGTGAGGATCCAAGCCATTAAATGCCTCTGCTCTGACTTGATTGTAAGAATCTCTATAGAACAGGCGAAATCTGATCATAACGGCTCTGGTTTTTCAACAAAAAGTTTAACCCTGTGAAATCCCCCCCTTTCTAACAACATCGTCCTTCCTGACCCACATAGCTTTTACCTCAATGGTATACTGTTCAAAAATCCGAAGCTGAAGAAAGATGTCTAGCTTAATCTTTCTCTCATGGAAGAGTTCTTCCATCTGTACTTGGGCTTCATCAAGTTGCTGAAGGACGGATTCAATGTGGCTGATAGAGCTATTGTGCGGCGTTTTATTGTTCGAGACAGCTGAATCCCTGTGGTAAAGTCAAAGAGGAATAGTCAAAAACGCAATGAGGAAAAAAAAAGACGTTCTCAGTCCTATAAATAGCGGGAGGAGAAAAAACAAGAGAAGGTTGGAGGAAGCCGCATCCAGGATTTACTCCTTCCACTTGCTGAATGCCTTCATTTCCTGAATGCTACACAAAGAATTGTACACTTCTTTTCATATCGAGTGACATTCTGACCCTTGTACTCTAACAAGGAGTTGGAGAGAAAGGGGAGGGAGTGGATGGTGCATAAATCTCTTGAAGATTCTAGCAATCCTTCTTAATTTTATTCCAAGTGACCCCAATTCCCTGACACAAAGAATCCGCAACTTCAAGGGTGGGGGCTAAGCCTGCCTGCTACCCCTGATCAAGTCAGTTTGAGGGGGTTGGTTTTATGATTTTGTCAACTGCATCCCTTTCGTTTTGATGCATCGAACTTTGGGGAGCCAGAGGCTAGTGCATACAGTCTTGGCTCAGGCTTTACAGCTTGTTCCCGGTTAGAGATGTGAAGGTCCAAAGGGAAAAATTCAGGAAAAAAACGGGGTTTTTTTCTGAAAAATTGGAAAGGAAAAATTGAAAAAAGAAATTGATTATGGAACGTTTTATTTTAACATGATGAATAAAATATTTTAAGACAAGGTGTTCAAATATTTTCCAAATATATATATATTGGTATCAGATTGATCTAATTTCTGTGCACTGAGGACAAGCAAGTTCTAGGTTAAAAGCTGAACTCTCCAATGCAAGAACAAAATGCATTTCTTCCTTTAGGAGGTGCGATTGTCACAAGAAAAGAAAAAGGTTTCAGTTTTGTTTTTGCATGTGGGTGGGTATTCTGTTTGTAATAATTGTTTGGATACACTATATTTTTAACATGCTAGTTGTGATAATTTCATGCCAGGTAAAAATGTCCATAGTCATATTTTATGTTCCTAAATTAACAGAATGGCTTTCAGTCTGGAAAGGAAAAAAGAAATGGTAATGTAGCATTTTTCAATTTTTCCGAAAATTTCCGTTTCCCCCCGAAAAAAACTGGAAAAAACCTGGGGTTTTTTTCCGAGCTTCAAAATTTCCGGAAATTTTACATCTCTATTCCTGGTAGGTTCTTCCCAATCTGCTCTAGCAACTTAAATATGACCACTGAGGGTTTTTTTAAAAATTAGATATAAGAACTGTACAATAATTCAGCAAATAAATACATATGGATTCAGGAATCACATGGGTGGGGGCCAATGATATGATTTCTCAATATACAATCATTGCTAGGGGAAAATGTTTGTCACACAAAGCAGTTGTGCGTATATGTGTGTGGAGAAATAAGCAATAATAAGAAATATTTAAAATACTTATATCCTGCCTCTCCACAATGCCCACAATGCTTATAAAACATTAACATATACAGTTAAAACGCATCCATTGACACACATCGACTTAAAGTTACTAATCCTGCAATATACATTATGACGGCACATTTGGTTGTGCGTAAGAAAAAGGACCCTGAGCTGCAGACAGTGGGGAAATCGCAAAACAACTCTGGGGGCAGATATGCAGAGACACATCAGCCCTGTTGGGGTCCCTGAGGCTGAAGATTAGGCCACCTTCTGCCAGGGTGGGTGCATAATCCCCCCCCCGAAATGGCATCCATCCCCCTATATGGGAGAAAATAAAGACAGGTAGTCTGGGAGACCACAAGGTAGTGCTAAACATGCCTGGGGTCCCAGTGATTTCAGCATATGTTTTGCCCCCTTTTGCCAGTGTCCCAGCTAGCTGCCATTCATTTGGTCACACAAAACTCAGTAGAAGTCACAGAAAACTGAATCACCTTCTGCCTGTACAGCCCTGCCCTGACTTGTGTCTTTAGTCATGCTAAAGTGTAATGGCATGCATACTGAGAGAATTGAGGAAGAGAAAGAAAGAAAGAAAGAGAGAGAGAGAGAGAGAGAGAGAGAGAGAGAGAGAGAGAGAGAGAGAGAGAGAGAGAGAGAGAGAGAGAGAGAGAGAGAGAGAGAGAGAGAGAGAGAGAGAGAGAGAGAGAAAGAGAGAAAGAAAGAAAGAAAGAAAGTGTTGGGAACTGGGCTTTCCCCTGTCTATGGAAAGAAAGAAAGAAAGAAAGAAAACAAATGTTGGGAACTGCGCTTTCACCTGTCTATTGAGGTTTTGCATTTGTGTGTTTCTCTCTTTTCCAAAGTGTGGTAAAACATCCCCTCCTTTAAAAGACCCTGCTACCCAACCGTTAAAACCAATCTGGCCAAGAAGCTGTAGATATAACATTACTTCCAAGCCAATCCTAATCAAAGTCAGTTAAAAGCAGTCTTGCATAAAGCCAGGGCAGGTCAGATGAGACCTTGCGCTTGTGTATAGGCTGCAACCTTTCAGCCACACTGCTGCTGTCTTAAGGAAAAGAAAATAATATTCCCTTGTGTAGCTGAAGACAAACAGTTAGTTGGAACATTTTAATTCAGACACACAGGGAGAATGCAAATCCCAATGACAGGTAGAGTTTAAGAATGTGAATATTCAACATATGCAACTATTCAGCCAATTAAACACAAATCCCCTCCAGGTGGCAAGAAGATACTATATTCAATGTAATATGAAGGTATATGCTTTATTTAGTGGCACTCAGACACCGCAGAGCAGGATACAAATCATCAGGCTTCAGTTCACAGTAGGTTAACAATATCCTCCATATAGCCGCTTAAATTATTTGCCCATTAACCATTAATTCATACTCACTTTATCACCAGTTCTTCTCATCCCTTCCACACAGTGGTCCAAAAGTGATTTAAGGTTTTTTTAAATTGAATCATTCCTTTGCAGTTACAATAAAATAAGACATTCTGGATCACAGTAAACAGAATAACAGGGCAGTGAGTAAATTATTCCATTAAATTCCAAGTTATGTATCCTCTGCCTCTCGGCTCACCTATGCCGCTGGTACAAAGAGTTTACCTGAGCTGCTGGATTAGATCTTCACCTTCCTTGATTACATTGAGGGTCGCATCTAAGGTAGCTGTCTGCTGTTGCTGGAACTGCTTAATGAGTTCCTGAACAGCATCCACAGAGTCTGCACAGACATCTTCCAAGAGCTCCTTCTGCAGATCTTCCATCCATGTCCACAGCTGTGCAGGAAGAGAAGAAACATAAATGAAAATACATGGGTGGTGGGCAGCAAAAGGGAGAGGGGGAAGGGGGAAAGGGAGTGAGTTTTAACCCTTTAATCCTCTAAAATCTGCTCAAAGAAAATTAATCAGAATGCCACAAGCACAGCAAGTCGCTTCCTAAAGGACATAGTAAGCAGTGACATTTAAACATCTTTTATACTAGCTGCCGTTTTACAAAATATAATTTGAAAGATCACAGTGAAATAAACACACGCTTTCACTCACTATTTGTGGAATAGGCTGCCATAAAAAAAGAAAAGCCCTGAGTTTATTAAACACAAAATTATAGAATGCAGAAGAAAACCAAGCATGTACCAGAATTCTACAGCTGTGGAGATGACCAAATGGCTAAAATAGTAATGAGAACATATTGGTTATGCCACTTGTTCTAATACAATAGAAATAGATTAGAGTTCTTATATACAAGTTATGAGTTCCTCACAGCTTCTCTTCTTTCTCTAAATCTTACCAAATTCTTTTCAGTCAAAATTATTTTCAGTCAATATTAGGGTTGCCACCTCGAAATATCTCCTTACCGGGGGACTCCTGCGCCGCGACTGGAGCCGGAAGTGACGTGACGCCGCCGGGCATGCTGGGGGTGGGGCCACGACCATCCGAGGGAAAACCATAGAGTTTTCCCTCGGATGACCGTGACCCGCCCCCAGCATGCCCGGCGTGGTCGCGTCACTTTCGGGTGGCGCGCACGTTGGGGTGGGCCCGATCCGCCCCGGGGGGACTTGGGAAGCCTAGTCAATATTCAATTGATTGATTGTCCTTGAAGAGAGGGGGGTATATTTGTGCACACGTTTAGTCTGTGATAGGTCTTCTCAATACTAACACAGCAAAATGACTCTTCCTACTTGAAATGGATAATGTAGACGTTTCATTTACCATCTGCATCCGAATGTGTTATTTATCATCTCATGAAATATCACTGCTTCTGATAGCACTACTGAGATTCAGCAAACTCTGTTTCTGTAAAAACTCCTCTCTGGACCTACCTGCACATTATGCCTATCCCAGTCCTGTTCACCTGATGTGCTCTGGGAGTTCAGTGCACGGACCTTAATTCCCAAGTGCATGCAGGCCACTTCAGCACCCAGGGGACAGGGCACTTGCGCTTGCCCTCATGCTACGTAAGCAACCCAAAATGGCTCCAGGGAGCTGCTATTTGCCCTGTTGTGGAACAGAGGTGCCAAGCCCCCAGTCGGAACAGGGGATCCCCTCCCTTGTTTCCATTGTCTGCCACCACTTTGAGTGGCCATGAGAGATATATGCCCCACCTGGCAATGCCAGCTGTAGCATCATGTCATTTCTGGTAGAAAATCTTAAATTGTATTATCAAGCTGCTAGAGTAAATTGGTTAAAAGACTGGTTATTAAATACCGATGTAAGTATGCCAACCTATATAGAACAATCTTTTGTAAAGGTACCCTTGAAAAGCTGGCCTTGGGCGAAGAAAATAGGAAAAAATACTATAATAGTGATAATACCAATGTAAATACACTCAATGTATGGGATCAAGTTAAAAATAGATTGTCACCAAGATTTTATTTATTTATTTATTTATTTATTTATTTATTTATGGATTTATATCCCGCCCTACCTCGAAGGCTCAGGGCGGCTTACAGGGGCACTATGTGCCAAGATTATAACAATAAAACACATAATATAAAACAATAAATTACAATAAAATACAGTAACAAGTTTACAATACAAGTTACTTCTTTATTTTCTTTTTTAGCATCCATTATAAGTGATATGATGGTTGAGGTAAGGCAGGAGAGGATGGGAATTCTCAGGTGCCTGTGATTATGGCAGTATGATAATTAAGAACCAAATGATTACGTTTAATGAGATTAAAGACTTCAGTTCTTGAACATCTCCAAGTTAGAAGCTACCTTTGCAGAATGATACGAAAAAATGCTGTTTTAAGAGCTGTTAACAGATTTTGAGGAATTATTACTAGGAGATGGTAAAAGTATCCTTTCTAGTATGTACTTCTGCTTATTGAAAATGATAGTCAAACCTGATCAAACCTTCCGAGGGCAAATAAATGTGGGTGGTAGTTTAGATGATTCAGCATGGAATCATTCATATGCATTTTGTTTTTATGAATTATTTTATTAATATATTTTTTTTAAAAAACCAGAACTGATATACAGTAGCTCTAGTAACTTCTGGAGACTCTATGGCAAAACCAGTTTCCAGCAATTCCTAAAACTATTCTATGTCACTTCTGGATTTTCCTGTTTTTCTTTTAACTGGAAGTGATGTGATATAGCAGCCGAAATCACAACTCCCTCCCATCCCTGCCTACAACCCTGTCGCCAGTTGCCAAGCCCTGCCTGGCAACCCTACTGTGGAAGCCTGCATCTGCTGGAATCAGCCAAACCTGAACAATCTCTCACACTTGCTCATGCTTGGAGAAATCCTGGGTTGAATCTTGTGAAAAGAATTCACGCACACGAGGTGGGACACAGATCCCCCATCTTGTGGTAGCCCTTCACCACCATCTGTTGTTCTGGGGGGAGTCCCCCGTCCCTCAGGAACAGCAATTTTACAGGACAATTTCAGCTGCTTCAGAAGGAGGGAGGCAGGGAATCCGTGTCTTCGTGCCTGGAACTTTGAAAGGATCCAGCCCTGTGTCTTTAGGGACCAATGACATGCTGCAGTAAAGGACAAAGGAACAAGCTACACTAAATGCAGATGCACGTAACTTTGGGGCATTGTTATACGTGCCAGTTTGGTGTCATGGTTAAGTGCGCGGACTCTAATCTGGGAGAACCGGGTTGGATTCCCCACTCCTCCACTTGCACCTGGCTGGATGACCTTGGGCAAGTCGTAGTTCTGATAAGAGCTGTTCTTGAAAAAGAGCAGTTTCTGTCAAGAGCTCTCTCAGCCCCACCTACCTCACAGGGTGTCTGTTGTGGGGAGGGGAAGGGAAAGGAGTTTGTAAGCCGCTCTGAGACTCCCTTGAGTAGTGAAGGGCAGGATATAAATCCAGTCTCTTCTTCTTTTCTTCTCTATTTAAAATTAAAAGAAATCCATGGGGACAGTAATTTTGGTTTGAGGAGAAGGAGAAGTTTGATTCTTTCCCCAACAGAATTTTCGTACTCATAATTGCTCTAACTCATCCTGTTGTACCTCATCTGGTTGCAAGTTTGTAAGTGTGCAGCTGTAAACCCACTGGATTAAAGTAGCTTTGAGAAGGACCATTCTGAAAAACAGCCTGCATGGAAAGTGTTCATCAGCCCCCTTCCATCATTCCTTTGCTCAAAACTGCAGCCTCTTGAGGCTGCCTTTCATGAAAAAGAAAACAATCAGGGCTTCATTGGATGCATTTGCCTACCCTGTTACAAAGTTTGTCCTTTGCACTCCCAGTTTAGCAATACAAGAATCATTTGGAAATTGCTACCCAAGGTAGCAATAAGTAAACATCTGACACATATGTAGCCATATCTGTTACCTTTTCACCTTTTCACGCTTGAGCTAGTATTGGCTTTATAGCAAAACTCCAGTTTTGGATGTAAATTGTGATCCACTTGTCACGGGCAAGTTGCAATCAATGAAAAAGTGCCAAATGGTATCTAAATTCCTAGATTTGCAAACACAAAGCCGCTCATAGAATGAAATCCCTGAGAACCTACCTGCTAGTTCCCCTGGGGGCAGGACATTTAGTCTTGCCTTAGAGAATAATATGCTGTATTTGGGAACTGTTAAAAACTTACAGTAAGCAGGTAACGTGTTTGGAGTTGAAAGACCCAAGTAATATAAGAGAACATATCCTTTGAGCTCTACAACTAGGGCTCCATTTATCAAATTGTAATATGCTAGATTTAATCAGTTTGCGTGCGGAGAGATATTCCATTTGATTAAAGAGCTCAAAGGGAAGCCCATCCTCTGAGGCCCATCCTCGACTAACTTTAGCCATGAGCTTTGAAAGCCATCATTAACAAGATGATGCAGGTGACTCCGCTCTAGAGAATTTAAAAAAATATATTAGTCTGAAGAAGAATGTTGCTATCTGGGCTTTGGCCTCCAGAGATGGTTCAGCAAATTCCAAAAGGATGGCTGGGCCAGAGATACACATTGGTAGATTGGACAATGTACATAGAAAGAAAGTTAAATAGGAGCAGGGCTATTTTTGGGCAGGGACGCACAGGAACGGAGTTCCGGCTGGCTTCCGAGTTTGGCCACACCCAGCAGGAACTCATTAGCATAATAGGCCACACCCAACAGCGGGAACTCATTAGGATTGGCTACATTAGGGGTGTGTGGCCTAACATGCAAAGGAGTTCCTGCAACAAAAAAAAGCCCTGGGTTTTGACAACAAACAAGGTAAACAGAATAACAAGCAAAAGGTGGGTGTGGCTGAATGACCACAGTTCTGGTAACGTGGGGTGTGGTCTAATATGCTAATGAGTGGTGCAATCAGGGGTGTGGCCTAAAATGCTAATGAGTTTCTGCTGCTGGGTGTGGCCTATTATGCTAATGAGTTCCTGCTGGACTTTTTCTACAAAAAAAGCCCTGCATATAATAATGAAGGAACTATATTCACCTGAAAAGCCCAGATAGCAGCAGGTACATAATTCCCTCCTGAGGTCCAAAAGAAACTCAGGAGAGCTGACAAATGTACTGATGCTAACTTCTTAGCAGCAGTAATATGTCTTGGCCATTATAAGAAAAAAGGGACACTGAGATAGTGGAAGTAAGTCTGTCTCTGTGTCCCAAGCCCTGGTATTCCTTGGAGGTCTCCCCTCCAATTAGTTGCCCAGGTTGGCCCTGCTTAGCTTCTGAGATCTGATGAGATCGGGCTTGCCTGAGCTATCCAGGCCAGGGCCTGTGGAAACATTTTTTGATGGATGAAGGGGGGAAATCACTACCACTATTCCCTTGCCACTGATGGTATAGGCTTATGTTTATGAGATATTAATTTGTGAGTATGTGGTAAAACC